ATTTAAAACTAGTTAGGCAATTTATATTTACATTAAGTTTAGGGGAACATTTGTTTGTATATTTATTATGTTGATCTGTCTAATCTACATATACATTAGGAGTTGGAAAAGATTTGCAAATAATTGGTAATTTGATCTGCATATTCAACTTTAGCATTATATGTGAGGTAATCTTGTAAATATTTAGTATCCTGTTCCCCAGAAGTTGCCTACACATTAACGGATGTGTATCGTTTGTGGAAATTTGTTATTCAGCAATGCCTAATTGCAGGGTGAAGATTAAAACTTTTGTGTTATTTAATCCCCATCTTGTCAAGTTTCTATTGCGTAGTTAATTTAGACCATAGATTCACAAGAGGTAAGGTAAAAGGGTAAGAGGTAAGTAGGAGGAACTCAATTTGTAGCCGCTTGAGAACCTCATAGAGATTAATTTTGTCTGACTATGTAGTTTTGTAGAGGACCTTATGTAGGATAATTTGATGTGGGTAAACTCCTGGTGCCCATACAGTAATATACATAACTTTTGCTACGACTCACCCCTTCTTTACTGTAACTTAGCCGACATTCAACCCTGGATCACCTAGATCCACCTCAAGGAAGTTAGGCATAAAAAGTAGGTAGCAAATAATTTTACCGAACATATTACTAAGATTTTACTACCGTCAAATCATAAAAATAGGCATTTTAATTTCGGTGAATATAATTCAATACCTGTTCTGGTATGAGCCAAAGAAGTAGTTGTTTTACGAAGGGAAACAATCGCTCGTATTTTGTATGCCATATTGTGATGGTACCGCTACAACTAAACTCAAACAAATAATGATTGAGAGTGAACCGTGTTGTCATATCTCAATTTTACCTTACTAGTTTTTAGCAGAATCAAAATAGAGTAAGTAGTAGAGTTTTAAGTTGTGGCAAATTATAGATAATATACAATCATAGTACTAATAAAAGATATTAATTATAACAAAAATCAGTAATGAGTAATACTTATACATTTCTTGATCATTTAAAATTAATTATTTTATGGATTGTTCAGTATTTGTTACAACTAATGGCATCGGTGTACGGAGCGATATTTGTGTCTTTGTCTGTTACGCGTAAAATCCATCTCGTCGATGACGTTCTCAGTAGTGTATTTCTAACCACGAGCGTAACATCGGGTTTTGAATTATACGGTGTGAATTGTAAGTTTTACAGTTAAGTTAGTAAGTAATCGACGTGTTGTAAGAACAATTGGTGAAAATATTAGTGCTAATAAGTGTTTAAACATTAAATAATAATATTTCTACACCGTTCTAAAACTATGCAAAAAATGGAAGACATTGAAGGGCCTTCAACGTCGAAAAAGGTAAAACGGTCGAAGTCTCGATCGCTAAGTGAAAAACAAATTGTACTTCGAGTATTTCACTGTCTTGAAAGAGATCATCAGCGACCAAAAGATAACTTAGTGCATATGTGCTGTAATTCTACGGATGTACCTCCGAATAACCAACCGAGCGTTCCAATATCATTAACTTCCACAATTACAAAAGATAAATTAGTTGATATGTGCTCTGATTATACGGGTGTACCAAAATCATCAGTTTACAAAATACTAAGAGAAAACAAAATTCATGGGGAAGTACAAACGCCAAAAACTAGTAGCGAAAGAAAAAAATCACAGTTGATGAAGAAGCCAAAAACAGTATACGCACAACTATTCACAGTTTCTTTTTCAGAAATGAGCTGCCCACTTTGGAAAAAGTTCTGGAGGCAGTTAGCGATCATGAATTGGTCCCACAAATGAGTAAAGAAACTTTGAGGAAAATTTTACACGAAATAAAATTTACGTACGGAAAAGTCGACAGGAAAAGCATTCTCATTGAACGTCAGGAAATAATAGTATGGAGAAGAAATTATCTCCGAAAAATTGAGGAATTTCGGAGTATCAAAAAAAAAAATTTACTACATGGATGAGACGTGGGTTAACCAAGGACATACGGTCAAAAAAGTATGGCAGGATGGTCATATAACAAGTGCACGACAAGCCTTTATTGAAGGCTTGTCAACTGGGTTAAAACAGCCGTCTGGAAAAGGTAGTCGTCTGATAGTTACGCATATAGGAAGCGACAGTGGATTTTTACCAAATGGTGAATTAATATTTAAATCCAAGAAAACAGGCGACTATCATGAAGAGATGAATGCGGAGGTGTTTGAAAAATGGTTTGAAGGCATCATTCAACTTGTGGAACCTGGGTCTGTCGTCGTCATGGACAATGCCCCATATCATAGTCGGTATTTAGAATCATTACCGAAACAATCATGGAAAAAACGAGCACTTCAAGAATGGTTAATTAATAAAAACATCCAATATAAAAAAGATAGTTTAAAGGCAGAACTACTTCAGTTAACAAAATTACACAGAGACAAATATAAAAAATTCGCAGTGGATGAAATGGCGTTAAGTCGTGAAATTACAGTATTAAGGTTACCACTGTACCACTGCGAATTAAACCCAATATAATTAATCTGGGCGCAAGTAAAAGGATATGTGGCACGAGAAAACAGAACATTTAAATTAGTGGACGTGCAACGTTACCTACAAGAAGCCATTCAAAATGTTTCTGCAGAAGACTGGAAGAAATGCATTCAGCATGTTTTAAGAGAAGAGTAAAAAATGTGGGACGTAGACAACCATATTGAACACAATATTGAAACAATCATAATTAACTTTGATGATAGCGGTAGCAGCAGTGACGAATCTGAGGTTGAAGATTAGAAGAAAATTTATACACAAAAAGAAGTCTATATATTTAGGTATAATTTTTATTTTTACCATTCACTATTACCATTTAGAAATTATTATATAAATTTGTATTTTTAATTCCTGTACACAGACATGAACAATGTCTCAGCAGGATACAAATGTTTATTTATTTAATTATTATTATTGTATCAATTTGTACATTGTTACATAAATTTGAAATAAACATTATTATTATTATTATGTTTGGCGGTCAAGAAAACATAATCCTGTAGGTTATATCCAAACTAAATATCTTACTTAGGGATTGCCGAAATGATAGGTGCGTGTAAACTTTTATGATTTAAGTACCAATCAAATAGTAATTTAAGCTTTATAATGTCTTTTAATGTTGGCCGAACCCAATTAGGGTTTCTTGGGTAAGGCTGGCTAGTTTCGAGGAACTGCAGGTAAACCGGGAGAGAGTGAGAGAGAGATATATATAGAGGTATGCTTTATTGTCATTGAAAAATTACAAAAATTTTATAGACAAAGCGAAGTAAATTAAAAACTAAATATAATATAAAAAGATTAAAAAATATAAAAATTTAAAAATAACTAAACAAAACAAAATAAAAATATCAATTGCATTGGATATGCAATATCCGTCATTATGATTTTAATTTAAAATTTAAGTAATAATTCTGTATGTGTAACCCAAGAAGAAACTTAAGAGACAGTTCCTTACTGACTTCGGCCGCGACATAATATATAAATATACGTTAATTTGTGAAATAAAGTTAAATTCATTATTAAAATAGTAAAATTGATAATATTGTTTCTGTCACCAAACCAACCCCTGATTAGGTATCTTTCTTATTTTTAATTTGAAATAAATATTGTGATTTTTATTAATATTCTTAATTTATTTGGTTCCTACTATAATTACCACAATTATTACTCCGTTTTCATAAAGCCCCACTAATGACTACAACGATTAGGTAAATTACGATATTGCAAAGTTTTCATGAAATAAATAAAAGAAATTGTATGAATATTTTAAATAATTGTACCCTCTCAAAAATAATATGCACGCCTCCGATTTGGTCGTATTTCTACCTGCTTTCACTCTCAATTATTATTTGTTTGAGTATGTATAATAAGTGATATAGTACCGCGCGGACTAATAGCTGAGATAGTGCGGGGTGCAGGTGTTCGGGAAAGAAGAAGACAATCGGCGACACGTGCAAAGGTCATAAAGGACGTTGCGAAATCAGTCAGGTTTCGACCGGTGGCCGAACCATATCGATAATGAAATAGTATATTATGCAACGATCATGTAATGATGGTTATTAATACACGAGCATTAACCGGGATACGAAACGAGCCAAAGGCGAGTTTCGTATGGTTTATGCGAGTGTTTTAATAACCATTACATGAGAGTTGCATACGCTATTTTTTCTACACCCGATAAATAATCAAGACCTATAAATATTCTATTTATATTGGTATTGAACACAATAACAGTAATTACTCGTATTTCTATAAAAAATTCTACAAAATTGTAATTAATGGTATTACCTTGGGTACTGGTATTACCACAGATTTTTGGGGCAAAATATTTTGTACTGCATTTTCTCCTTTCTCCTATATGTGTGAAGGAGTGTTCTATATCGCTGATATCAGACATTTTAATATTATAATTATCGAAGTTTAGCTATCTACGAAAATTTAATACGTTTTGACAACTAAAACAATTACATAGGAATTTAGGACAAACGTCAAACATCATGCTTGATTGAAAAATTGTAGGTTTCTATTGATTAAAAATCTGTATCATAATGAAAAATCTGTATCATAATGGGTATCATTATGAAACGGATTATGGGCATATAAGTGCATTATTATAATACGGGTGTAGAAAAAAAGGGTTGTTAGCCGACGTTTCTGTTGCCGGCTAACATTATTGTAATTTTGTTGCATTTTATTGCCTGATCGGCATTGTATTTTGATGAATATATTAGTGTTGCTCGAATAGTGTTATTATATCCCTAAACCGAACCCCGTTTGAGCTAGCCAACGCAATATTTTATTTATTTTTATTTTAATATCACTGTTATTTTGAAAGGTAGCTGTCCAAATCGTCTCAAGTATCAATTTTCAGTTTCTTATTTTTTAATAAATGAGACTTGTCAAAAAACCGAATCATCTTTACTATTGTATTTTTTAAGTTAACTTATTTTAGACGTACTAAGTAATCAATTTTGTTTTTCAGATTAGGAATCTTTGATGTAATATTTGCTTCTTCATCAGTTGTTGGAAACCTTATATCGCCCTACTTACTTTATGCTACTGATTATCAAACTATTTACCTCATTTGTTTATGTCTAATTGGAGCCAGCTTTTTGTACACAATTTTCTTCTTATCGGAATCTTTGAAGTCTGAAAGAAAGGTATATAATTTAAGTCTAAAAATCTCATATAAAATGGTTTAAGTTTCTTTTTTAGAACTATTGACTTAATTTTTAGTATCTATATAAATATTTGAATATTCTATTGATTACAGAATATAATTTTAGGCGATTTCAGTTGAAGAGATTTTAAATTCAATCAATCTCAAAGAAATTGTAAAACATACAATCAGAAAAAGAGAAAACAATGCAAGAGCTTATATTTTTTGTATCATATGCATCAATATGATATTTGCATTCCCAATGGGCGAGATGTCCGTTGGAACACTGTATCTTAGAAAACAGTTGCATTGGACATTGATAAAATTTTCACGAGTCAACAGTATTACAAGTTTGGGTAATATCTTTGGAACTATATTTGGAACTTACGTTTTGTATAAAATAATGAAAGTCAAAGAATTGTCTCTTTGCATATTTGGATTAATATTGCAATCAATTGCAAATATTTTGCGTGGAATAGCAACAAGTGATTATTATATATATGGTGGTAAGTGAAAATCATTTGATTATAGTTTCATAGTCATCATCATCATCATTATAGTCATCATCGACTTTATCAGCATTATTATAATATTATTGTCCTAAGCAAAGAAAGGTTGGCCATATATAGGGTGTTTCAGTATAGATTAATGTAAACGGGGGACTTGTAGATCTTTCTTGCTACATACAATTTTCTTGTGAACGTCTTATTTTTTATTCTACAGGGTGATAAAGTGAATTTCAAAAATACGGTAAAATTTTAACTTAAAAATACGTACGGTAGGTTGGGGTAGATTTGTATATAGGGCACATTGTAAAGTTAATCACTTTCATAAAGGTATACACTGGTGCTTCTAATTGTAGCGTCATTATACTTTCATAAAATTATAAGTTCTAAGTGATGAAAATTATCGTGAAACTTTTTTAAATACTAATATAAGTATACTCACTTACCGTTTAGGTTGTAACAATCGTTCTATGGTTAAATAACACAATATTCTTTGTTGTACTCAGAAATTATGCCTTATTGCTTAACATAACCTAAAACATCAAGCTTATTTATATGGACCAGTTAGGTGGGGCAGATTTGGACTAGTCTAAATGTGCCCCAGTGTCCAAATGTGCCCCACATTTTCTCTAATTGTTTTATATTTTTTATAGGATGGTTCGTAATTTTGATGGTTCGTTTTCTTTATACTAGTATGTTAATATTATTTTCGATAGCAATATTTAGGATCAAGTTGTATAAAGCTATCGCTCATTGCATTCATAAGTCCTAAATATTTGAAAATTGAGAAAATATTTTCTATAGAAAAAAGTGTCCAAATCTGCCGCATCCTCCCATACCTATTAGTTAATAGCCATTATTAGTTAACACATTTCGATAAATTACGATAATCCATTGGCGTAGAATCAAGGGCTAATAAAACAATTTTAATACAAAAAATTTTAACACCCTACATTTTATAAAAGCTCAGATTAATAACACTAGTTTACAAATTTTAACTTTTTTTTATACCCCGAAAGAAATGTATATAAATCGAATTGTGTGTACGAGAGGATTATAAATGAAGAACAGATAACAAACCATCTTAATTTTCTCGATAGCCAAGCAGCCTTAAAGGCATTTAAATATGTTTACCTATCTTCTTTAAACCTAAAAGTCTGAGCAGAAATATTAAATCACATCACAATTTCTTCCTGCAGTCAAATGTTTTTCAACTTCTTAACGTGCTAACGACAGTTTATTGTTTATTCGTTTGCTTCAAAAGACAATTATTGGGTTGTTGCATAATAAATTGCAAAAACAACATTTATTTTAAAATTATTTAATAATATAAATAATACAATTAATTTATTATTATCGCACATTAAGAAGTTCTCTGGACGACTAATTGTTTTATGTATGAACTTGTCAGTTTGCACTGCTTAAAGTAGTCCTAACTTAATTACTGCGCAATATTACAAAGACTTATGCAACAACCCAATATCTTGTTTCGGATTGATTTAAAATGTCGAATGGAAAATGTAAATAAAGTTCAGATCGTTTTGGTTAGTTTGTGGACAGTTCCTATTTTCAAAAAAGAGAAGATTCATTAAAAAGTGCATATCTTCATTATTTTGGATTTTCCGTTGGAAACCAAAATAAAAAGTGGGTTCCTCATGTGTTTTGCGAAAGCTATAGAATGGTCTAACTTCAATGGTCATCAGGAGAAAACGTACACCTTCTATTTGGTTCACCAATGCTCTGAAGAGAACCTAGTAATCATGAAAATGACTGTTACTTTTGTTTTATAAATATATTGGGAAATAATAAAACAAATAAGGCTAGTATTATATATTCCGCAATTCCGGCTGTTACTTAGCCCATTTTACATTCGAAAGATCTACCACATCCAGTTTGGCCCGATAATCTGAGTACAAATAAACTAGATAGGTGACAATGAAAGTTATGTTGAATTCGTATCTATTTCTAGTAATTCTGACGAGTTTTTCTTCAAGGAAACACTCCACATTTAATTGAACAAGTCGAATTAAATGATCTTATAAGAGATTTACAAATAGCAAGATCTAAAGCAAAGCTTTTTTGTTCCTTGTTGTTATAAACCCATTTTATTCATAAGTAATTCTTTCCTTTTACCTTATATTAAGTTCTAGTCTAGTTATTGACGATCTAAGATAAATGTAATGTCAAATGTCAGATGTCAAAAGAGACGAAGAAGGTTGTTGTGTGTCTCTGATGTAGATAATAAAGAATGGTTGTTTCTGGTATTAATAATAATTAGAACCCTGTTTGCATATTGTCTGCATATTGTCTTTATTAAATAAACATTATATAAGTGATCTACTGAGTATTAATATATTGAACAACAATTACAACATTCCCGCTAACAACAATGGAACTTATTAACACCAGACACAAAAGTTACATTTTTCAGAAAGAGAAGCAAAGTTTACTTAGAATTTTTCCAAAGAGATGGTGATAATTAAAGCCCTTGGTGTAAAAAGGACGCAAGCCACAATTTGTCGTGAAGTAACTGTTTTACCTTAAAACATCTATTAATAAGGATACTAGCCACATACGAATTATTTTACCTCTATTTCGAATTAGAGATATTATTTTTAGTAATATTTATATTTAAAGGACCCCGCACACCGCTTATGGAAAAGTAGCGACCTGTAAAATGTCATAAATTTTTAATATGTTGCAGTTCTCGACTTCCTAAGCAATAGTGTCCACAGGACCATTCAAATCCTACGACTGGTTTTTGAGATACAGGGTGTTAAACTTAAAAAATACCACTTATTTGATAACGGTTATTTCAGGAGAAAGCTAATCGATTATAATTTTTTGTTTCAAATCTTATTGAAACATCCTTTGGCATTCTACGAATATAAAAAGAGGTCAAAATTTATTTTCTTTTACAGGGTGAGCCACAAATAAGTAAGGACGTGTTTTTGATAATTACTTTTATTGTTATAAAAGGTAAAAATATTTCCTAAAAAATACATTATTGCTTTATTTATCATGTCTGATGATAATACCATTGTATAAAGAACTATAGTAGGATAATCGCCATGTAAAAGTTATTGGAGGCAATCGCGCCCGCCATCTATTGGTACAATCATTGAACTAACGATTTTATTTACTGGTTAGATGTTAGAACTTTATAAGTGACAATTCCGTAAAATTAATTGTCAGTATATATTTTTTTAATTATTTAGATTAAATATAAATAAAAATTAGTGATTCTTGCAAAGAATCAATAAATAATAGCATTCCACAAGATATTCGTCTATATTTAGAAATAAACTGAGATTTTAATGAAACTAAAAGCAGTCTGATTATCAGCGTTAAAAAGTAAAAATTTTTCATAAGTCTTCATAACGAAAATTTAGAGTACTTGTCTACGAATCGAAGGGTTCTGAGTTCAAACCCCCGAGTGGACACTATTTTTTTATTATTTAATTTTATTTTCTAAATTGGTAAAACTTAAATTAATTTCAAAACATTAATTTTACGTTAATAATCAAATTATAATAGAATATTATAAGGTCAGGTAATTTTATTTAAATCTTTTGACAATGAAACTAAAAACGTGTGTGTCTAAAGGAGAAATATACAGAAAATGGCGAATATAACAAGTATTTAAATTTTGCTAATAAATTTGTATTAGGTATGTGTTAAAAGAAAATACATCATTTTGGATTTGAATATACAGTGTGTCGCAAAATGTCTGCACCAAGAAAACGCACAAAATTACATTTTTCTTTAATTTACGTAAAAAAGTGCGAATTAAATTTTTTTTACTACAAATTTATGGTACCTAACAGGGTTATTCATTATAAATTACCCTCCCTTTATGCTATAATTATTATTGTATAATGTTTACATTGACCGAATTTTGTAAAAATGTCTTCAAATGTCCATATAAGTGGTGTGCATATTTCACAGGATTTAACATGAATATTTTTTAATAAGGATAGCATAGATATATATTTTATTCAATTTTCGAAATGATCTTTATTCTTTCCTGATTAATTAAACGTCGAATATCATTTATAATCTATGTCGAATATCTTATAAATATTTACACTTTTTCTTTCTCACTGTAAACTACCTATTTTGATTATTTTATTATCAAACATAATAGTTGTGATTTTCATAGCTTTTACTTTAATAATGTTAACTTTTTCATGTTTACATTATCAACGTTAAATTACTCGAGAACAGACGGTATAAGATAGGGTTATCAATAATATACATTTGTGAAATTAGAATAAAAATATCCCAGAAATTTAATAACATAGAGGGTATCCCATTTAAAAAAGTTTATTTGTGTTGTATTCCGTGAAATCTGAATACGTGTTTTTATGGTATATTCACAAACTTTTATTTAAAGCTTTTTTTGAATATGCAATAGTGGTTATAAAAGGTGTCTTTAATAGTGAATAATCTTGTACATGATCTCAAATAAATTTGTTGAAATTAATTTCATTTGTAAAAATGTCACTTCCGCTTCTCTCGTATTGCTAAAAAAAAATTATGTCCAGGTCCAGGATTTGATGGTGGATAATATTAATTCTAGATACATTTTTCTCCTGTTTTTAGAAATAAAGGTTAATGTTTAGCCAAATTCATATATTTTTTTTGGACACACAGTATGTTTGTATAATATTAAAAACTTCCCCTACTAAATATTTTGGCTCAATCAAAGTAGATATCTTAAATTGATTATTGTTAGAAAAAGTAGAAATAATATTAAATATAATAAAGAAATTAAAAAAATAATTTAATTTAATAATTTGATTTAAAAATTGAAATTTTGGTTTATATGTATAAAAAATTGTAGATTTTAACTGTTTTTTTTTAAGTTCTAACTTGATTTTTTGGGGATGCCACTCCCTCCATCTCCCTCTAGGAGATGGTGGTGGTAAGATATTTATACAAAAATGTTGCAAATCATTTCTATTTTAAATATGCCAAAAATAAGATTTTTATGTATT